TGGTGAGGATGTGGGGGAAAAAGTACACTCATACATTGTTGGTGGGACTGCAAATTGGTGCAGCCAATATGGAAAGCAGTATGGATATTCCTTGGAAAACTGGGAATGGAACCACTATTTGACCCAGCTATCCCTCTCTTTGGTCTATACCCTAAGGACTTAAAAACAGCATACTACAGGGACACAGCCACATCAATGTTTATAGCAGCACAATTTACAATAGCTAAATTGTGGAACCAACCTAGATGCCCTTCAGTAGAGAAATGGATAAAAAAATTGGCATATATGGACAATGGAATATTATTCAGCAATAGAAGTGAATAAAATCATGGCATTTGCAGGTAAATGGATGGCGTTGGAGAAGACAATGCTAAGTGATGTTAGCCAATCCCAAAAAGCCAAATGCCGAATATTTTCTCTGATGTAAGGTGACTGACTCATAGTTGGGTAGGGAGGGGGAGCATGGGAGGAATAGACGAACTCTAGATAGGGCAGAGGGGTGGTAGGGGAAGAGAGGGGGCAGGGGGTTAGCAATGATGGTGGAATGTGATGGACATCATTATCCAAAGTACATGTGGGAAGACATAAAAAAAAAGAATATTGATAACAGGAAAAGGTGATGAAAGACTTGATATTTGAGTTACAAACCTTTGAGTATAAAATAACACTATTTAATATGCTTAAAGAAATAAAAAGTAAGCTTTCTAAGAAATATAATAAGGAACAGAAACTACAAAGAATGACTAAACAGATGTGAAGAAAACAGAATATCTAGAAATTAAAGATACATTAATTGAAGTTAAAATGTTATGAATGGGTGTTAAAGGTTTATTAATTATTTCTTTGTTGATATGAAGATATTACCTAGAAAGCATCACAGGGAAATGAAAGAAAAAAATCAGATGAGAGACATAGAAGATACAAAGATACTAGAGTTCTAATGTGTGTGTGTAAGAAGGAAGTTTCAGAAAGAGAGTAGAACAAATGGGACAGAGGAATATTTGATGATGTATATCTGATAATTTTTTGAAAGAGATGAGAAATGAAAATTCACAGTGAAGCCCAAAAAAATCCTAAATAGATTAAAGAAAAAGAAACATTCTCAGAAACTCTATAATGAGATTTCAGAATATCAATGTCAAAGATAAAGTAGAAGACTGAAAGACATTATCATATTATCTTGATATCACTGAC